TTTTTTTGGTATTTTTAATACAGACAGGGTTTCCCTACGTTGGCCAGGTGGGTCTCAAATTCTTGACCTCAGGTGATCCACCGCCTCGGCCTCCGAAAGTGCTAGGAATACAGGCGTGAGCCACCGGGCCTGGCCAAAGACGCTCATACTTTCTACCTTATCTAAATCAATATAGCTAATTAACTTATTTCCTAATTGTAAACCATCCTTGTATTCTTAAAATAAACTCCACTTGGGTATGTGGCTTGATTCTTCTATTAAACTTTACTAATAACTTTTGCATCCGTAAGTGAGATGAAACCATGATTTATTTGCTCTTTATTAGATTTGGGTCTTTGTTATATTAACATTTAAAAACACACAAAAGATTTCCTTCTTTATTATCTAGGTCCTAGAACATTTTCAAGTCATTGGAATTATTTCAGGATTCTATTCTGAAGCTCTTTGGGTTTGGTGATGAATGTGTTAGTGGTGGTACGGTTGGTTGTCTTTGACAGCTTCATTTTCTTTATGGCAATTAATCTGTTTATGTTTTCTATATCTTTTTGAAATAGCCATAGGCTATTTTTTCTTTATAACTAATCATTTTGTTTGGCTTTTAAAATATAATGGCATGGAATTGGACACAGCTCTTTTAACTATTATTTACTTCCTTCCTCCCTTTGTTTCTATTATTTATACTTTTAATTGGTTCATCTAGTTTTACCTATTTTTGTACCAAAAAATCAGTTTTTAGGTTTATTTACTATTTTTGCTTATTTCACTAACTCCTTGCTAATTCCTTTATTCAAAAGAAAAATATTATATATATATATATATATATATATATATATATATATATATTTGCAGTTGGTTGAGAAAATCTAAACTGAGGAAACAGAAATCCAGAGTTTGATTATAAAAGCAAGTAAAGAAATGCGTATGTTCCTAGAGGGAAACATTAGAGTTTTTATAACGAGGCAGTATTACAACCTATTCGTATGTTGATGACACTCATTTAGGAGAGAGGGAAGGAATTCATGGTACAGAGAGAATGGGTTTAATCATGGGAGCGAGGTCCTTGAGTGGGCAAGAGTATATGGCAACAACTGCATAGAAGGCATTGTTCTGAGGCAGATTGCTCATCCTTTGTAACATCAGGAAAAAGGCATTAACTATGAAAATGTGTATTTGGTCATCATTGATGGTCCACTTGAGATATGTGGTTACAGACCCAAGAATGAGTCCAGTCAGTGGAGTTGCTTTTCTTTGGTAACATTTTATAGCTTGACTACACTCAAGCTATAATGGAATGGGCAGTGGAAGAGATTTAGGCTTAACAGTGGTTAGGGCTTAACAGTGGTTAGGGGGTCTGTCAAGTAGGTAAAAGGGCACATGCATGAAATTCTGCATCTTTCATAGGGTTCATGAACACATTACAGTAGATGAAATCAATGCATCTAGTGCATTAAGGGCAGTGTGGAGCAGGGAAACATTTTTTAAAATGCCTTTCAGAATTTGATACATATACCTAACTTGAATACAACAGCTGAAGCTTTGCTAGACAGGTTGTAGGGGCTTTCTCATCTCCTTGTACTATTAATTTCCTCTTGGCCTTTGGGGATGGAACATCATCCGCCTCTGATTTTTCTTGTTGGAAGGCATTTTAGAATCTCTCAGAAATGCAAGTGTAGTGTTCTTTTTTCTTTATTTAAGTTTACAAAATACATGCTTATAGAAAAACATAGAAATATGTAAAACCAACCATGAAAGTTCTTTCATAATTATGCTTCCTAACAGAGCCACTGTTAGTAAGGTAGTGTTACTTATTGTATTTTAGAGCATCAAGTTGTTCACAAAAATGCTTGCACTTTTTTTTTTTTAACCTAAAAGTTTGGAAATCTTGCCCTAATAATCCAGACATCCCTCACTCTCTTAATGAATACTTAGAAACAAATTACATCAAGGTACCATTTATTAAACCAGTCCCTTATTGGCAGGCCATTTGGGCTAGTTTTAAGTATGAAAGAACAAAGGCGCAATGAATTTGCTTGTGTACACTTGTCAGATTATTCCTATTAGGCAGTTTCCTAGAAATGAACTTAGGCCAAAAGGTTCAGTTTCAATAAATCCTGGAAAACTACATTCCTAAGGGCTGTGACAATTATACTCCCACCTATAGCATGCAAGATGGGTAATGTAATTAGAAATGCTCGTTCAAAACCATGGTATAACTTTTTAATTTGGAAAATTAAAACAATTGTTCTTATAACTGTGTTTTCTAATTATAGAAGGTGACGTCTGACAAATCTTCACTAAAGGGGAATCAGGATCCCAGGGAAGGATTGATACAACTTGTATTTACCAAAAGGAGGAATCAGTATTAGAAACTTTAGAACTTCTTTATAAAATCTTCACAAGATTGTAGCTCTTGCTTTCATTTTAAATAGCTGCACTGGTATATCCAGAGTTATTTTCCCCAAGTTTCAATACCAGTACTGGTATCCTACTAGTTGTGGAATAAAATCCATCCTTGTATGAGCTTTCCCCACCACAAACCAGCTTTACTCCCCATTATTCAACAGTAGCAAATTCTTTGTAACGGAACACACTGAACACTTTCTTTGTGTCTGGTTTCATCACTTTATGACTCATCTTAGAATACTCTTTTCCATCTTCGTCCCCTTCATTTCAAAGTCATCTCCAATGCCACTTACTCTATGAAGTCTTCACAATCCTTCCTGAGAAAAATGGTCTTATCCCTTGTGTTTCCCCAGCATTTCACCTGCACCTCCAATACAGAATATCTATAAACTACCAAACTGAAAGTCTTAGAGGATAGACACATCTTACTTGTCTATTTCCTGAACGCTATCTAGTGCAGAACTTTGTAGGACATATACTCAAAAACTGTTTTTGGAATAAACATACATAAGACTTCAAATATTTTAATCTCAAATTATTAGTCACAGATATTAGTTTTTAAAGGATTTTAAAAAAACTACTGCCCCCCCATGTCCTGTTATAATAATCAGTTTCATACATTTTTTTAAAAAGGGGGTATTCTAATAAGACTGTCAAAATATTATATCTAGAATAGTTATGTTCAATAAATCTACATTTGCTTGATATCCGCATCTTCCTAGTATCACAAATTGTTTTAGAAATAAAAACACGGGGGTAGGGGACAGGGGACAGTTTATTGTAAAATATGAAGCAGCAATGATTGAAGCAAGTGAATTTCTGCTTTATACTCCCAGCCAGAGCACAAAATGACTGGATATCCTCATCAATGCCATGTTTTAAAAAAAAGAAAAGAAAGAAAATTCCACATTCATTAAAATCTCTTTCTCTTGATAATTTCTGGTTTCCAGCTGACTGGATGAGTTTCTTCTGTCTAAAAATAGAAACGTAAGTTAAAATAAATTATTATTAGTTTGCTTCATGTCTAATAGGCTTCCTTTCTAACAAAAATAGGTATATAACATTATTCATTGGCATTACACACTTAGCAGTTTTTTGACAATTTTGGGAAAAGTTGATAAACTTCTGGCATTATCCAAGTCTAATAACAGATGGATGGATTCATTATCATTAGTTTGTAGTTTTTCATCTAAAATAACATTTCCATTTGGATATTCTAACACCAAAGTTTATGATTCTCAAATTAATTTGCATAGCAATCTATTTATTTGCTATTCTTGGTGCAACATTTCCCAGCAACTACAACAAAGAAAGCTGGGATAAAATTAAAGCCATCCATGAATTCACTGGCATCAGTGAACAATATAGAAATCGATAAATAGACACTATTCAAGAAGACAAATATCTTAAATATTATGAAATTATTTTTCCTTCTGATAATTAAACGAGATTACCTGCCAAATTGGTACAGCTGTTTTACTTAACGAATGTGAAACAGACAACTTACGGCTGTGTCATCCTCTCTGTATACTTTAATGGTTTTATCAGCTTCAGCTGTTAGCAATCGACTTTCAGATTGATCAAAAGCACAAGCAAATATTCCTGATTCACTGTCCAAAGACCCAGGTTGCACAGCTGCATGAACTCTCTGAAAATTGTAGCCAGTTCTCCAGTCCCAAAGATGCATGGTGCCATTGTCAGCTTAAAGGGAAAAAAATCTAGTTACACCTGGTATCCCTTCAGCAGTACAGCTTGACAAACATTTATTAGGCAATATTAGCCCAGCACCAAGGCAATACTACAGTTACAGAAATACATACGACACAGGCACTCAGCCTTCTCTTAATGTTAGTTTGTCTCCTTTCATTTGCGCTGGGTTCAGAATTTATAGATCTTACAGATCTTAAAAAGCACCGCAAAGTCTGACAACCAATTTCAGAATACCAAACAAAATTTTAGGCAATTCCCAGTATACATCCCTGAGATTCATTAGGTGGGAACTCAAAGAGAACTAAATTATGAAATATACTACATGTATTATGAATATGCATGAACACACATAGTAACATGCAAATATACCCTAATCAGGCAAGTGCTGCTATAATACTTAAGTGTCACAGCTTAGAAGCATTACAAATGTTTATTCATCATTAAAAGAAAAAAATAAGAGACCAAACATATTTATTGTAAAAATCTTATTTTACCTCCAGATACAAGTACTCCATCAGAATTTACTGTCAACGTGTTAATAATAGCATTATGACCAGAAAGATTTTGAATGAAACTTCCATCAGGGAATTTCCACTGCTTTATGTTATCTGGAGAACCAGATGCAAATGTGTAACTGAAATAATATTAAAAAGGATTAATGACAAAGTAAACCAAGTTAAATAAAGTGGGGTAACAGAACACAAGATACTATGTATGGCATACTCTATGATATGTAAAAAGCATGAGATAAAAACAGTGGAATGAAATTTCATTTGAATACATTTCAAATGTCCATGATTAAAATATGACACAGAAACACTGTAATAAAGCTTATTATAGTTATATTTTGCATGTGCACTCAATTATTTATGTATTCAGCAAAATACTGTCGTATCAAAATGTAAAAATATTAAAACATTCGTTCAAAGTTAAATCAGATTTTCAAATTTTTAACAGTATATTTTAAGTCCTAGATGAATGTTTTATTCTCCTTTCAATTTCCTTAATGCTCTGCAGTAAGCTAGAACAACAAATGTGCAAATGCCCTATTTCACATGAAGGGCAATGCGAATGCAACTCTTATGGAGGGAGGGAGAGCAAGAGAGGAACAGTGAGAAAGGGAGAGAAGGAAAGGAATAGAGGGCAAGAGGAAGAGAGAAAGGGAGTGAGGAGAGGAAAAACGGGAGGAAGAAAGACAAGCAAAGGAAGGAAGAAGAGAGGAGAAAAGGGTATGGAGAGTGGAAAACAGAGAGAAGGAAGGGGAAGAAGGGATATGAATATAACCAGGAAAGTGTCAGGGTGATCTGATACAACAAACAATAGTAGTGATATTATGTTCCACCTCCTGGGATACTCTGACTATACTGTTCAGATTTCTTATTTCTCTTTCTACATATATTAACTTCCTCCTTAAGAATTAAACCATTCAAAATGAATGTCTCAGTGTCCAATGTCATTTATGTCCAAAACATTAAGCCCAGTCACTAATATCTTTTATTTTGACAAGCGACATTTAATCATGATTTATTTACATTGTCTCATTTGACATTATTTACGTGTTATCAAGTAGAAGGCTTTCCTCATGTTTTATAGGACATAAAGCAAAACAGTGCGTAAGGAAAATAAAAGAAACACATGTTCCTACGTGGCACAGGCCTAGAAATGACGGCAGCTAAATGACTGCCAAAAAGCAGTGCTGACACGAGCATCTCAGCATTATACTAAGAACTGAAGAAAAAAGAGAAGCTAATTAGGAAAATACACTTACTGTCTTGGATGTAAAACGACAGCCCTAACTGATTTTTTGTGATTTGTTAATGTCACTCTTGTTTTTCCAGCCACCAGATCCCATAATCGAATTGTAGTATCATGGCTTCCTGTAATGGAAATACATATATCCCTCAAAACATAGACCAGAAAAAATAATGCAAAATTAAATAAAACACAAAGCATTCTTCCAAAACACACATGTTCTAAATGAAAGTCTTATCACTTGGAAATTAGTCTTGGCTAATTTCTTCATAGTTCCAAATGTTTAGGTTGATTTTAATTCTTTAAAAAATTACAACAATTGATTCACTGTCAACTGAACAGCTAGAACAAATGCAAATAACAAATAAAACAAATATATGATTTTATACCCTCGTGAAAGGGAAAAACTCCAATGACTTTTTAAGTTAATAAAATACAGGCACAGGAATTATTTTCTAGTATTAAAGATCCAACTTTATTTAGAGCAAAACAAGATTCCAAATCAGTTCTAAAGGTTCTAAAGGTTACTAGTCTCAAGGTATTTTGTCTTCTAACTTCAATTTCCCAGAAAAATAATTTTGACACTGTAAAATAGTAAACTGCTCGTAACACAGTATTCTAGTCAGACATTACAGGATACTATGTATGGCATACTCTATGATATGTAAAAAGCATGAGATAAAA